CCAACACACTCCTTCAGTGGGTGAAGCAGAGCGCCCCCAACACACTCCTTCACTGGGTGAAGCCCAGCGCCCACAGCACACTCCTTCAGTGGGTGAAGCCCAGCGCCTCCAACACACTCCTTCAGTGGGTGAAGCCCAGCACCCCAACACACTCCCTCAGTGGGTGAAGCCCAGCGCCCCCAACACACTCCCTCAGTGGGTGAAGCCCAGCGCTCCAAGCACACTCCTTCAGTGGATGAAGCCCAGCGCCCCCAGCACACTCCTTCAGTGGATGAAGCCCAGCGCCTCCAACACACTCCTTCAGTGGGTGAAGCCCAGCGCCCCAACACACTCCCTTAGTGGGTGAAGCCCAGCGCCCCAACACACTCCTTCAGTGGGTGAAGCCCAGCGCCCCCAACACACTCCCTCAGTGGGTGAAGCCCAGCGCCCCCAGCACACTCCTTCAGTAAATGAAGCCCAGCGCCCCCAGCACACTCCTTCAGTGGGTGAAGCCCAGCGCCTCCACCACACTCCTTCAGTGGGTGAAACCCAGCGCTTCCAGCACACTTCTTCAGTGGGTGAAGCCCAGCGCTCCCAACACACTCCCTGCTACTTCAGTGGGTGAAGCCCAGCGCCCGCAACACACTCCTTCAGTGGGTGTAGCCCAGCGCCCCCAACACACTCCCTCAGTGGGTGAAGCCCAGCGCCCCCAACACACTCCTTCAGTGGATGAAGCCCAGCGCCTTCAGCACACTCCTTCAGTGTGTGAAGCCCAGCGCTCCCAACACACTCCTTCAGTGGGTGAAGCCCAGCGCCTCCAGCACACTTCTTCAGTGGGTGAAGCCCAGAGCCCCCAGCACACTCCTTCAGTGGGTGAAGCCCAGCACCACCAACACAATCCTTCAGTGGGAGAAGCCCAGCGCCTCCAACGTACTCCCTCAGTGGGTGAAGCCCAGCGCCTCCAACACACTCCCTCAGTGGGTGAATCTCAGCGCCCCCAGCACACTTCTTCAGTGGATGAAGCCCAGCACCTCCAACACACTCCCTCAGAGGGTGAAGCCCAGCGCCCTCAACACACTCCCTCAGTGGGTGAAGCCCAGCGCCCTCAACACACTCTCTCAGTGGGTGAAGCCCAGCGCCTCAGCTCTGTTAGGGTGCTGGGAGGCTTCCCTCGGCGGTAAACTTCACACACACACACACACACATGAGAGGCAATGACGAACCAGCGAGACTCGACCTAGTCTTCACTCTGAACGACTCCGACATAAGAGAAATCGGTTTTGAGGACCCAGTAGGAATGAGCGACCACAGTGTACTGGTGTTTGAGTACTTGATTGAAGAAGGGTTATTGAACTCGAGGAGGGATACCGAAACCAAAAGGTTAGCATACCGAAAGGGAAACTATGAGGGGATAAGAAAATTCCTAACAGATATAGCATGGGAAACAGAGCTCAGGGGAAAGACGGCCCAAGATATGATGGATTACATCACGCAGAAGTGCAAGGACGCAGCAAACAAGTTTTGTCCCAGTCCAAAAGGAAAACAGAGAAATGAAGATGAGAAACCCATGGTTTAATCAAAGATGTAGGCTAGCTAAGCAGCAAAGTAAAAGGGCATGGAGAAACTATAGGAATAACAGGACACTGGAGAGCAGAGAAAGATACCAGAATGCCAGGAATGAATATGTCAGGATGAGAAGAGAGGCAGAAAGACAATACGAAAATGACATCGCAAGCAAGGCAAAGACTCAGCCTAAATTGTTGCATAGCCACATTAGGAGAAAAACAACAGTAAAGGAACAGGTTATGAGATTAAGGATAGGGGCGGAAGGATTCACTACAAATGACAAGGAAGTGTGTGAGGAATTGAATAAGAAATTCCAGGAGGTCTTCACCTTAGAACAAGGAGAAATTCCAGAGGTAAGTGAGGGAATAGCTAACCAGGAACCACTGGAAGAGTTTGAGATTACCAGTGGGGAAGTAAGGAAGTGTTTACTAGAGTTGGACGTGACGAAGGCTATAGGCCCAGATGGAATCTCCCCTTGGGTTCTAAAGGAAGGAGCAAGAGAACTGAGCCTACCACTCTCCATAGTGTATAACAAATCACTGGCAACAGGGGAACTGCCAGATACTTGGAAAGCAGCTAACGTAGTCCCGATATACAAGAAAGGGGATAGACAGGAGGCACTGAACTACAGGCCAGTGTCCCTAACCTGCATACCATGCAAGCTGATGGAGAAGATTGTGCGAAAAAAACTAGTGGAGCATCTGGAGCGAAGGAACTTTGTAACACAGCATCAACATGGGTTCAGGGATGGCAGGTCCTGCCTCACAGGGTTACTTGAATTCTACGACCAGGCAACAAAAATAAGGCAAGAAAGAGAAGGGTGGGCAGACTGCATATTTTGGATTGTCAGAAAGCCTTTGATACAGTGCCACACAAGAGGCTAGTGCGAAAGTTGGAGATGCAGGCTGGAGTGAGAGGGAAGGTACTCCGGTGGATAGAGGAATACCTAAGCAACAGGAGACAACGAGTCTGTGTGAGGGGTGAGGTCTCAGATTGGCGAGACGTCACAAGTGGAGTCCCGCAGGGGTCAGTCCTTGGACCTATACTGTTTCTGGTATATGTAAATGATCTCCCAGAGGGTATAGATTCGTTCCTCTCAATGTTTGCCGACGATGCAAAAATTATGAGGAGGATTGAAACAGAGGATGATAGTAGGAGGCTACAAGATGACCTGGATAGACTGAGTGAATGGTCCAACAAATGGCTGTTGAAGTTCAACCCGAGTAAATGCAAAGTAATGAAACTAGGCAGTGGAAACAGGAGGCCAGGCACAGGATACAGAATAGGAGATGAAGTACTTAATGAAACAGACAGAGAGAAAGATCTAGGAGTTGATATCACACCAAACCTGTCTCCTGAAGCCCACATAAAGAGAATAACGTCTGCGGCATATGCGAGGCTGGCTAACATCAGAACGGCGTTCAGGAACCTGTGTAAGGAATCATTCAGAATCTTGTACACCACATATGTAAGACCAATCCTGGAGTATGCGGCCCCAGCATGGAGCCCGTACCTTGTCAAGCACAAGACGAAGCTGGAAAAAGTCCAAAGGTATGCTACTAGACTAGTCCCAGAACTAAGAGGCATGAGTTATGAGGAAAGGCTGCGGGAATGCACCTCACGACACTGGAAGACAGAAGAGTAAGGGGGGACATGATCACAACCTACAAAATCCTCAGGGGAATCGACCGGGTAAACAAGGACGAACTTTTCAACACTGGTGGGACGCGAACAAGGGGACACAGGTGGAAGCTGAGTACCCAAATGAGCCACAGAGACGTTAGAAAGAACTTTTTCAGTGTCAGAGTAGTTAGCAAATGGAATGCATTAGGAAGTGATGTGGTGGAGGCTGACTCCATTCACAGTTTCAAATGTAGATATGATAGAGCCCAATAGGCTCAGGAATCTGTACACCAGTTGATTGACGGTTGAGAGGCGGGACCAAAGAGCCAGAGCTCAACCCCCGCAAGCACAATTAGGTGAGTACAACACACACACACACACACACACACACACACACACACATATAGAGTGTGAGTGTGTGTGTGTGATAGAGCCCAATAGGCTCAGGAACCTTGTACACCTGTTGATTGACGGTTGAGAGGCGGGACCAAAGAGCCAGAGCTCAACCCTCGCAAGCACAATTAGGTGAGTACAATTAGGTGAGAGCACACACACAGCAATAAGCATTCTTCAACACACATTTTAACATCCTCACAAACATTGACAAATGTCACAAAAATAAACAAAAACCAAACAATTTTTAACTGTCACAAACCATTTAGTTTAATAAAAATAAATCCTGGACTATAAATACCAGCTATTTCATTCCTACCTTTCTCCAATTACACAAAAATCTCGCTTAAATGAAGATTAAGCCAGATTTTCATTTCTCACGGTGGTAAAAATGCCACATATAAATTAAATTTGAAATTAATTCATTTAAAATGTATACTAAAAATTTCAAAGGCATTGAAATGAAAACACGAAAACAGGTAAAATGCATTAACGAAAACAGTGAACTCAGAAGAAAATTCTTAAGACAAAAGTAAGTTATATATTTACTTGGACCTGAGTTCATAACAGAATATTTATTCACAATTTGGTTCATTTACATATATATTTTACTCAAACCTTCACGTTACAGGAAAAACAGGAGGAAGCAGACCTCCTGCTGTCACTACTGTATCCCATGTATCCCTGCCACTAATGTATCCATATATCCCTGTCACTAATGTATCCCTGTCGCCCCAGCTCCAGGATAATGTAACTTATTAGTAAAGTTAACACCAACGTCTTAACCTTTAACGTTACTGCCGGAGCCTCGACGAAGGACACGGACGTCCCCAGACTGTCTCTTCGCTTCAATTACACAGTACAGGACCCGGTATAAGTTCACAGTAGTCCAGCTGAGGGTTGCTGGACACTGTACAGGACCCGGCATATGTTCACAGTAGTCCAGCTGAGGGTTACCTCATAGCCTTGTACACAGTACAGGACCCGGCATATGTTCACAGTAGTCCAGCTGAGGGTTGCTCATAATCCTGTGCACTGTAGTAGTGGGAAAAAACTCATAGACCGGCTATTTTGCCTTTTCCCCAAGCCAGTCTATGAGTCGTGTGTTTTTCGTTACAGATGGCGACGGCCGGTCTATGAGTCGTGTATTTTTTGTTACGCCAGCGAGTGATTGCTCATCTCCGGGTCTTAGCATTTCGCTCAAGGGGATTAAAAAGCTGGTCTATGAGTCGTGTGTTTTGTGTTACCTCGGTGACCCTGAAACCGAATGTACAATAACGTCATTCCTAATCTATTTTAAATCTCCTATTTTCTTCCAATCTATGTTAACCAGAACATCAACTGTCACTATTAGATGAACTTCAGTAGGTCTATTCCTAATTAATATCCCCTTTCTTCTCCATTTATACACATCGATAATGTAACTCCATTAATATTCAGAAGGTCCTATATATTCCCCTTATTTATCTGGAAGCTTTATATTTAAAGTGTCCGGCCAAGGATCGTTTATTGAGCATAGAAACTGATGAAACCCACTATCTCTTATTCGTATGAAACAAGGGGGAGCAACACAGAGCGTTAACTATCGTGGCGTTATCTCAGCGTTCACCCCTGTTACCAAACGAGAATTTACCCAGGTCTTTTTCCTAAATCTAAAACTTATCCAATTTATGCTCATTGTTTCGTGTTCAGTCTCGTGTTGATTCTTTTAATAGGCTATTAATATCCCCCTTTGTCATGTCCATTCTCTCACACCTCTATCATGTCACCCCTTATTTCTTCGCCTTTCTAAAGTATGTAATTTGAACTTTCTTAATCTTCCTTCGAGAATTGCTTATCGAGCATAGGGAAATAAAATGAAAATCCGCTATCACCCATTTATATGAAACAGACCCCTCCCCCCAGACATGGAGAATTCAACAGGAATTCATTAGTATTCCAAATAGATGTCGCTCCTAGTCCTGTGCACGTCTCACATTCGCTCAAAAACATGCCCCCCCCCAACACCCCACTGTAGCATATATATAATCTAAATACTCATTCAGTTTGCCTATATATGATCTGCATTGAGTAGAAGCGGCTTCGCAAGTTTTGAAAAATAAGCCGTCTGCAGTTTCGTTCATTCTGACATCATGATCCCTAGTGCGGTTTGATCCACCAATGAGTGCATTGCTTTTAGCCAACGTTGCATATGTGGTTTCTAGGAGGGTTACACATTAGCGAAATCTCGTAATCTCCCTCAGCATCTCAACCGTACTCTGTGTCATCACATGCGACGATGCCACGCTCGTATTTTCGCTCATTGTTCATATTTTTTGTTGTTCAATTCATCAGCCCTATCAAACCATTCTAACCTAACCTATTATATACACACAAATAGATTCTACAGATCCGTTGTTGTTTAGCGACGTCCCAAAAGCTGCCTCAGTATAGGGATAGAGTGTGGTCAGTCATTAACAGGTAGGTGTTAAGGCTCCACTGCAACCTGACCGTTCAACTGTGAGTGACGTCACAAAGATTCACAATTAGGCCTTGGCATGGTACTTGCATATGTAGTATGTATTAAATGTTATTATTCAAATATGGCTAGACTATCCAT